TGGTAGAGGGCAATACATGATCAGGCAGTGAAAAAGGTCTATGAGGCTCTGGGTTTCAGCCCTCCTTTGATTCAGATCCTAGCAAATCCCTTCCTTGTTTGCTGCTTCACATTCCTGGGACTGGTTTGCAAGTCAAAGGCCTTGCCAAAAGGGTTTCCAACTTCACACTCAAGGCTACATGTGTCAGAATATAGGATTCCAGCCAAAAAGCTTTCCTTTAAGAGTTCCTGGGTAGATCTGGATTTGGAGACCCAACAGACACAGTTTGACTCTTTATAAAATAGCTTAATATTTCCATCAGCCCTTGAGGGTCCACCGGCCAGGTATGCCCTGTGAAATCTCCCTATCTGACCCACTTAGGCCTGAATGAAGTCCCTCCCCCAAACCCCACCTTCACAGAGATCAACAGTGTGGCCATGGAGAAGACCCACTTGCTTAACCCATCGCCAGGAATCTATCTGTTTCTCCTTCACAGGCAGACTCATTTTTCTCTCTTAATTTGTAACCAGAACAATCTGGCCATGGTGGGGTAGACCTACCAAGTCACTGTTTTCTCTGTGCACAGAGAAATGAGGCGGTTTGGAGAAGAGGAAAGAGATTGGTCTACCATTTGGTGGCAGAGGTGCCTTCAAGTTATCCTTGACTTGTGGTTGCCTGGACAAGTCCCTGCAGGTTTTTTGACTACATTTTCAGAAGTGGTTTGCCATTGTTGCTTCTTCCTAGGACTGTGAGAGGGTAACTTGCCCAAGGTCATCCAGCTGCCTTTGTTCCTAAGGCAGGACTAAAACTCACAGTCTCCTGGTTTCTAGCCTGGTGCCTTTAACCACTACACCAAACTTGCTCTCCCTTCTGTCATTACTGTTTGTGGAAAAGTCCTGCTAGAGAAGGATTCCATCTAGGCAATGACACCACGTGGCCCCATGGGAGATGTCCCAGGAGGCAATCCATCTCTCCAACTGGAAACAAATCTGCAGCTGTTCTCTTCTACTTTTAGTTCAGTGGCACATCACATGTTTTGTAGGCAGTCTCCAAACTGAAAGGATCTCTCTCTGACCAAGTGTTCAGCAAACTGTTTGCCCGTCAGAATGGTTAGTTCTGGAAAAGATGGGAAGTGCCATATGCTAATAGCTTAGATCAAATTACATGCACGGCCTCCCACCCACGCACCCTCCTGCCACACAAACTGTGCCAAAGTTAGCGAGTTACAAGAGGTTCCCTAGGGGCATTAGGCTGTCCCATCTTCATCCCTGGGAGCTCTTTTGCATCGCCGCTCTTGTATCAGCCGGCTATTTGCAAGCAGCCTGGAGCAGCAGCAAAAGGTCAGAGCAAATGTTTACATTTGCCAGATGGGCTTGGAACACTGAGGCCACGGGTCAGGCTGGCAGAGGTGATCAACTGTCAGTGTAACTGGACTCACCGCATCGGCATTGCAAGGGCGCAAGGACTGCTAGGCAGGTTTGGACATAACTGGTTTAAGTTTCAGGCCTACCATGCCCTGCAGGAATTGTCACTTTTGCTGGTGTTTACTGGGGCCGTTTCCAACCACTTGTGCCGCTCTGGGAGGTAGCCGTATAAACTCAAGCCTTTTTGCACCTGAGCTTCTGGAAGGGCTCCTCTGCCTTGTTCAGGCTGACCAAGGGGGGACATAAGCTGGCCACTGAGGATGGCCTAAGCATTTATCTGAGGTAGCTAGAGGGAGCTGCGGGTGAGTTATGGGGGCAAGCCTCTTGCCCCTTGTCCCTGGCTTACCCTTGCTGGAGACAGCGACGAGAGAAACTTGGCCCTGCCGTCAGCTGGATCCACGCCAAGCCATTTGTTTAGCTTCCCAGCTGGGGGTGAGACGACAGCAGAAAGTTCCCTAGAGCAGGGCGGATGGGATGGTGCGGTACGTGTCTCGCTTTGGGCTGGAATAATGGCTGGGGTCCCTTGAACGGGCCACCAAGTCAGGCGTCAAGATGGTAAGCTCCTTCGGGCTGGAATATCTAATGTTGCAGAGGCAGTAGCGTCTCTGGACATCGAGCGCCAGCACATCAGGAAGACAGATTCCGAGGAACCAGGGAGAGGGGGGCTTGCGTATTGCAAAGAGGACGGGTCCCAGCCGTGCTCCCTTCTGTGACAGTGACGGTGTTCTGTGGGTTCCACGTTTTCGCATGGCAGCAGGCGCTTCTGGCTCCAGAGCCTAATTTGCCCTTTCAGCCACCAGCAACCACCCTCGGTTTCTTGCAGAGCCTTGAGGGCAGTGGGGGGGGAGATGGTATTTGCCTGAGTTCTCTGCCTCTGTGGAACAGCAGCCGTGGTGTAAGTGGGAATGCTCTCCTCCTCCTTCTCCAAGCTGCACAACTCCCCAGGAGTTTCCCCATCCTCCAAGACCAGCAACTCGCCTGTCCTCTCCAAGAAAATGACTATGAACCCCAATCTTCGTCTCCAGCGGCGGTTCACTGTGGCCCACCCACTTTGGTAAGAGGATTTGGGATGGGGGGGTGGGAGGACTTCTCCCGGGTTGTTGTACGCGCTCCATGTTCAGTGACTGCTCCAGGGTTCATAAAAATGAGCCTGAAAAGGGACGAACATCTAACCCAACATTCTCCTTCTAGCGATAGATAATTAAATCTTTCTAGTGATAGTCCTCCCCTTTGTTTTCCAGCACTCACAGATAGGCTGGTTTTCCACAAAGAATTTCCACTTAGGAGTAAAACCTGTTCTTCATGGATATGTTTCACCCTCTTTTAAAGCAATCACAAGCATCCTGTAGGGGAAAAGGTTGCAAGGTGGCTCTGTATTGGATGAGAGCAGACATCCTGTTCTTTGTCTTGAAAGGGAAAGAATTGTCCCTCTTCTTAAATTCCATTTACAACTTTCTGGACAAGTAAAGCATGCCAGTGCTTAAGGTCTGCTAGAGGCCTCTGTTTGTCCATAAGAGCAAATCAGTTGCAGGATAAATAGATATCTTTGATCTGACCTCTCAGATTGTCATTTATACTCTTTTGTTATTAAATGGAGCCTCCCAGTGCAGAGTCACTCTACCTGGGAACGTACAGTGGGAAAGAGCAGTGGTCTTCTTCCATGCTTCTGAGCTTCCAGCAGGCACTTTTTCTTTTAAAGCCATAGGTTTGGTTTGGGTTTTTTGCACCTCAAACAAAACAATAAAACAGCATTTAAGTAAGGAAATAAATCTGTTAAGTCTCTATTCTGGGCACAAAGGGATATTTTAGATCTACTAGAGTGATTTCTTGTATTTTTATGGTTCTTGGCAACATAGTATTGCTTTTTTGCCTTTGATCATTTCGAGGGGGGGGCGTTGTCTCCAAAGGGAGAGACAGATAACCTCAGTCTATTGTGAGATTCAGCCATCTCCCTTCATCTCGCACACACCACACACTCACATTTTGTCCTCGCCAAGTCCCTTCCAGCCGCATCAACAGCTATTTATAGGAAAATTCCAGATTCCGAAAGTATCTCCCCCAATGGGGTCAGGAACAATTAAAGCAAACAAAGTGGGGTGGAATTCAAAACAAAACAAAACAGAAGTGGTGACAGGTCATTTGCCAAATGCTCCCCCTCCTCTGGTGAGCAAGTGGGATGGAGATTGAACTGAGCTGCTGTGTTGTGCTCATGAGGAATGGGTTTTCCTTTCATGTACATACCTCAACACATCTGCTGCAGTTGTTACGGCCCTTTGGTTTGGCTTTCCCAAAGCATCGCATGATATTTTGCACATTCCCAGAACACAATATTAGAATCAGAGTGTTGGAAGGCGCCAACTGGACCAGAAGGTCCAACTCTCTGCATGGTGAGAGGATCCAGATTAAAGCATCCCTGTCAAGTCGGGGGGGGGGGGAGAGCTGCTGCCTCCACACTTCAACTGTCAAACTGTTTCCCTTCTGTTAGGAATGTTTTTCTTAACATTCAGCAGGAACCCATCTTCCTGCAGCTATTCTTCCATATCATTCTTTGGGGGGGATGATAGAGATCAGGTTTCTTGGCCTTTTTCTGCAGGTATTTCAAGTGTGCTGTGATTAAGGCTAAACGTTCCCAGTTCTTCAGTTTCTTCTCGCAGCGCTTAAAGTGGGGCTGGATCAATGCAGACCATAGTGGAACTGTTATTTCTCTTGATTTGGACATGATTCTTGGGCTTTAAGAGGAAATGGCAGTGGGACAAGCAAAAGGAAAGGATCCATTAAGGTTCCCCTGGTAGACTATGCAAGTTTAGACCTGGATTTGTCAAAGCCAGAGACATCTTGGGTTCACCCAAGCTTGCTGAACTCCAGGCAGTGCCTAAGGAAATGGACTGCAATGGCTGTGTTCACAGAATACCCTTAAGGCAGTGTTTCTGAACCTTGGCAACTTTAAGATGTGTGGACTTCAACTCCCAGAATTCCCCAG